TTTAACGCTTTCTGCACGTTGATTTCTCCTTGAGTTTACTCCTTGAGCTTAATTTCTCCCAGGGGTGGGAGAGGGGATGAGCTCACTTTTCTCCTCTTTTTATCCAGGGAAAACAAATAATATAAAATAGCAATAATTACTGTACAGGGATGTGATAGGGAAGGCGGCAACTGGGTTCTTTTCCTATGACACCAACATGTATTRGAGTGGAGTATAGAGATAGAGAAGAAAGACAGAGAGGGTGAGAGATGCTGAATTTCTAGGACAAGACCAGAATGGGAGGAAGAAGAAAAGGAAACAAATCTAAAAGAGTCTAAGGACTAGCGCAAGTGTGTGTGTGTCCGTGGATAAATAGAAAAGGAGAGGGAAAAAAAAAAAAGATATTTATGAAAGTAACGGATGTGTTTCKTATGTGTGTGTATGCGCAAAGCCAATGCTGGGCTATTTGGAGGAACCTAAAAGCAGAGTGCACTATATAAAGGATTGCCCGGAGGAAGATTTGAATATCTGCTGGAGGTTATAGATAAGGACAATAGAGAGATGAGTGAGCTATAGATGGGAAACACAGAGCTATTGTTTGCACATCTATAGATATATCCTCGGGAGAGTAAATCCCCCAGGATGAAATTTTGCCACCTGTGAAACCAAAGGGGGTTTGGCACAGAGATCTAGATGCATCCCAATCTATCATAGCTTACATATATGTATATATGTATATATGTATATATGTATATATGTATATATGTATATATATATATATGTATATATGTATATATTAACAGTCACAAATAATGGAAAGAAGTCAGAAGTGGGAGAGAAGGCAACCTGGCTTCTCACTGTTTGATATCAATAGGAAATAGATAATATCAGTAGGTAAATAGATAAACAGGAATAGATGGCAGAAATGCAAGAAAGYGACTTTTTATACTTTATTCTCTGAATCTAAAGCTTGTCTAAAGCTCAGACTCCAGATAGGAACTGAAGTCAGCAGCAGCCAATGATTACATCTTGGGCCAGCTCCAGAAAAACCCTGAAGTTCAATAATGATGGTTCTTTACCTTGGTAATTATATTTTCTATTATATCTCTCAGATGTTCTCTCTGTTTCATTTGCAGTTATACAAAATGCACAGAYCGGTTGGCATCTGTAAGTAAAAACTGCTGCTTCTTCCACTGTCACCGATTACAGATTTCACGTGGAAGTTCATCTATTTAAGGAGACCTTACATCTCATTTGTATTTTAGGATGAGTGACTGTGCGTGCAGCAGGACTTTGCCCTCGCTTCAGACAAGGAGTCCAATTCCCTGATATGATAACAGACTTTGCCTAGGCTTCGTTTAGATACAACATAAAAACAATGTGGCTCAATTGCTACTAGAGGGTAGCTGGCAAAATCTTTACTGCTCCAAGATTAACAGCTTTCAGACACCACCTGAGATTTACTCATGGCCAATTTATAAGCATTTGTTCCTGTCCAGGTGTTATCCTTTGTCTTCCAGCCTCCCAGGTAGAAAATGAAGTCTTATCTCAGCCATCCTTTGGCTGGTGAACTATTTACCTTATGCTCACATAATGTCTTCTGAGTGGAGATATAGGCTCATCTCACCTTTCTCACAAATCACACTGACAATTTACAATCCCTCAATCACTATGAGGCCTGTCTATAAAAGCCTCTCTCTCCATAAAGTTTTTCCAGAGCGCTTCAATTCTTGCTACTAATACCCGATTGCAGGATATGATATGAAGAAATGGCAACCAGGCTGCCAGGCTGCCTTGCTACTCTTTATCTTCAGATAATGTCAAGTATTTTGGAATCTTCCACACAGTTCACCAGTACATTAATGGGTGATTTGTGCAAATGYAAAACATCATAGGCCTCAAGACTAGTCTTGAATAATTCCACCAGCAACCTCCCTCTAAATGGAAGTTGTTGACTTTCAAAGCTATCTGATGATGACTTCTCTCTGACCAACTATGTATCTACCTCTACCCTGCTGTTTCCCCTGTTCCATGTGGTGCCCTGCTAAATTGCCTTGTAGTTACTGCCATGTAGAGGATGCTTCACAGTTTCCTGTTATCTAGGAAATATAAGACAGTATATACTGTCTTATCCTCTTTTCCCTGAAATGCATCAGGTCCATCCTGCAACATCTAACTTCTACATACCCATAGTGACATTTTGTCATTATTTGTTTGTCAAGAGAGAAGGAGGAGAAGGTGAAGGCAGAAAGTGTCTATGTGGATATACAAGGATGAAAAACATATTCCATTCAGAGCTGTTCTAACAACATATACGCAGACACATATTTCTCTACCGTCCATACACTCTCCTCAGTACCTCAATACAATATATATTTACTTGATTCTTGTCATCGCACACACATGCACACAATGCTGAGACAATAAGATCAAGGCACATCAGAGATCTTCTTTCCTGATGGCCAAACATTTATGGTAGAGAGGATGATCACACATGGTCACCTGCCTGTCTCGGCCTCTTACCTTCGGAGCACTCCCCCAAGGAGCGATGCGTTGAGACACTCAGGAGGAGAAAGGCGTCTTTGAACTTCTCCCACAGTGACTTTGTACTTTGAGGTTGAACTAAGCAAAGACAAGCGACCAGGTACGGAGCAAAACACCTCGCCGGTATTGACTGATATTCCACCCAGGAAACCATCTTTATTCATCATCAAAGAAGTAACAGATTTGGGAGGAACTGGGACTGGAGAGAAAAGAAAGGGAGAAGAGGAGACATGAACAATCATGCCATGAAGGAGTACAGCTAAGCACACTACCATTGCAAAAGCAAAAGACTTTTTCAACCTTGTGCTTCCTTCAGCCACCTAAAGGTGTGCTGATCCAACCAAGCCACTAAGGAAGAGCCCCAAGAGCCAGGGATCATCAACAGGATGATGCTCATATGTCTTGGTTCACCAGGATGGGATAAATACACCTTGCAAACACCAACATCATGTTTCAGACTTAGTCTTAGCCCATCTAATCCTGCACAATGGATAGCACCTGGAACATTGATTCGGGGGGAAGGGGGTAGGGTTGGGTATAAAAAGAAAAAAAAAAAATCCTATTTTGGCTCATTTTCAATTGCTGCAGGAAGGGAGGTTCTTTCTTAAATAAATACTGAGGCTGGAGGATACAACAACTAGGAGGCAGCTCTGTTATTGCTTTGTGGTTTTATTAAGTCTAGTTTATGAAACAAAATGAGCCTCTTTGTTTGGGAAAAAAAAAAAAAAAAAGATCACCAGGAAAAAAATACGGTATAACCATACTATTCACCATCTTACTCTCTTGACCGTATTGTACTATCCATAAAGTAGTGGGAACTCTCATGTCCCTGAATAAGGCTGATCTAATTACTGCAACACATATTTAAGGGAAATCAAAAACCAAAACAAAAATAAAAACCGTTTTATTCTGCCCACGATAAAACAAAATATTTAATTTATCTGAGAAACTAGTAAGGTTATTTTAAGAGCAACCAAGGGAATTATAATGAACTAATTCCTATAATAGCAAACAGACACACGCAGAAATAAACAAAAATAAAAGGACTAAAGCAAAAATTAGAGCAATCCCCTGGTGAAATGAATTTTGTTTACAAATGAACTTAAACAGCTCTCTCATAATTGTGCCTAACTGTTATRATTTACAGCAGGTGCTCTAATCAATCAACCAATCACTTTAATTTATAGAGAGCCTCKCTGCATTCTCCCAGTTGTTTCATTTCTGCGAGTAATTGATAACAAACCGTACTTAAGGTATGTTTTATGCAGGAGTTAATAAGAGCTGACAGCTGCTACTGCTGCTTCCTTTTGGAATCGCTGCAACGTGCTTTTCCTTATAGAAAGTGCACTCCGAAATTGCAGATTCGCTAGTGGTATCTAGTGGCAGTTTAGCGGGCATGTTTTAGAGGAGAAGACTGATTACACACCCTCGTAGAGCAGATACTGCTTCACAATCTCTCGTTTCCACTCAATCAATTGCAAAACCAATTCGGCAAATAATAGGGTTCTATTATGCACATATGCCAGCTATTTAGGTAGTTATAATACATGTCAGTTAAGTAATAAAAGCCCTGTTTATTTGCAACATATCTGGAGAATCAAACCATTAGGGTTRAGGGGATATTTAAGTCGTCTGGAGCTGCTAAACAATAAGATCGGGTATCCTAATATATTACCAAGTGCTAACTACTGGGCAATTGCCAATTTTATAACCTCGGTGTATGGAATAGACACAACCGTGTTTCACTGTTTTTATTACAGATCATTTCCTACCACCAGAMCAGACCCCCACAATAAAAGCTCTATAACAGCGAAAAACCAAAAGGCAAGTAGATTTCAGATATACATATTGCTTCGTATGCCTTGTAGAGAGGATCCAATATAAACAAATTATTTTGAGTGGCTTTACTTCAGGGAATTGGAAAGTGAAATGGATGCCCACTTCTCTATTATTTTTAGCTAGGCATTTTATACAGCTCGTAAAGGAGGTTTCAAATGGTTTCAAATAGGCACAGAAATAGTTATAAATGAGTTAGAGGCYGCTCCTTCCTTCCTTGCTATTAGTAGGCATTTTTGCCATCTACTCTATAGAAGAAGACTCCTTTGGGCTATTCGAGATAGTACTGGCACTCAAAAAGAAAAAAAAAAAAATCCCTTACCCCCGTCAAATATGTGTGAATGTGAATGTATATCTCACTTTTTACGTACCTCGTGCTGCAGTATAACTAGAGTGCAAAATCTATTTATCTATCTATTTATCATAATAATTAAAAAAATGAGAGAGTTAGATTAAAACACTTCTAACACAGAGATATCTTCATGACTGGCATTTTTCTTCGGACACACAGGCTGGCTGGTTCGTGTACACCTTTACAGAGGCTATATTTAGTGCCCAGTTTATCAGGTCACTGACCAGTGAACTGAGAAATTAAACAAGAGGCAGCAATTCCAGGAACATCTGATCTTAGTCTAAACTCACTAAAGAGAGAGAGAGGTCCCCATGTAATCCTTATATATATCTCACCCCTCTTGCTTTGGCCTTTTGGAGCACTTATTACATTAGTTAACCTTTGAAATATGGATTTGCACGTGTTCGATATTTTTTCCATGCAAATTGCTTTTGGTAAGCAGGCTGGCTCCCTTCGCTGCTATGCTGAGCGCTCTTCAGCTTTTGTTCTTACCAGTGGCTCACCAAAAACTAAATGTGCGACTAAATGCACATACCGATCAGTGGGAGCCTAATAACTCTAAGCTCTTTTGAATACCTTACCAGGCGGTGTAAGCATAACTATTGCAATTTCATAGCTTCAGAGACATGTAGTCTATCTAAACGCTATATCTTCTGTAAATTACCTAATACTTCCTTAAAAAAATGTGTTTGCCACGGAGTGAATTATCTCTATGTTTATCATATCTATACGTTTAGAACGGCTATAGCGCTGCAGACAGAGCCGAGCTGGTCCCAGGGATGCAACGTGGAGGTTTCGCTGGGTGAACAAGCAGCCCCGTCGGTGGATGCAGCTGCGAGTGTCAGCTCCCTGCGTGCACCTAAACCGCAATAAYCTCTCCAGCGCAGGGTATTTTTAGCCACAGTCACCTTTCCCGGCTGGTTATGGTTTACCATTACCGTTACAACGATACGGAGGAGCACATATATATACATATATTACATAGATGCATGGCACCCCCAATACTTCTTCTTTAACTTTATCCCATGAATACAGCATTAATGTTGTTCCCCGGCGGGATCTGTTTTTCTTTCACTTCCAAAATCCTTTCCGCGAGTCTAAATGGGCTCTCTTAAACCTCCCCCCTTGTCTTCTCTCCTCTCTCCTTCTCTCCCATTTTCTCTCCTTCCTGTTTCTTTCCCCCCCCTCTACTTCTCTCTTTCCCTTCATTTCCTCCGGTTACTTTCAATCTCTTTGTCATTTCTCCCCCTTCCATTTCTCTTCGGCTTATCAATAAACTGGGAGAGCAACAGTAGCCGCTTGATTTGTTAGTAATTATAAGCATACTGTTCCTGCAAACGGGATCTCTAGATGAGTGAGATCGCTTTAAAACGACAGCAGGAAATGGTGGGGAAATGGAGCATGGCGAAACTCAGCGTGAAGCTTTCAGTTCTTTACATGTTTACAATTTTCTGTGCATACATTAAGTCTTAGGTTGTGGGTTTGCTCTTTTTTTTTTTTTTTTTTTTTTTTTTTTTTTTTTTTTGTGTGTGTGTGTGATTTTCTGTCGGGCTGCTCGTCACAAACGCTTGTAAATGCGCCCCAATGCACACACCCAAGAAGAAATGTTCATAATATTTATGCATAGACACATTAAACAATCCAAAAGAATCATTATGCCCCGAAAATATCTGAAAAACGATTTCCCAAACTATAGACATCCCTGCAGTAAACATAGAGAATAACGTGATAGTCGATCAGCCAATCGATCTATCGATCCATCAATCAAAAGAAATATTTGTGTTTTTTTAAAAAAAAAGCACAAATTTGTTGCTAATGAGTTATCAGATTGTTGTCTTCAGAACTCGAGAGCTGCCTATCGCTCCTGAAGCAAACCCAAAGCTCTTTGTCTATCATAACAGCAAATTGAAATCAATGATGGTTTGCTCTGGTTCCAAAGACAAACGTAGGAGTCCAGGGACGATGTATCACCCAGTGCCACTAAAAGACTCGGCTCTTATTTTTCTTCCTAATGAACACGGACAGAAAGTGAGCATTTCACGCTTCCTTCCCTCCTGTGCCACTCGTCTYCTCCTCCTCTTCCTCCTGCCTCCCCGCCCTCCTCCTCCTCCGCAGCCCTTTTGCCCCGAAAGCCAGGAGGAAATTTCGGAGTGAAACGTATTCCCTCGAAATTGTTTTGCATTAAATTAAAGGTGACAGTGACGTTCCAGCAGTCTCCAAAGAAAAAAAAGAAAAGGTACCAGCACAGTGAGACTGAAGCACAGACTCTGAAGTAACACTTGATTCCCAGGTCCATCACCCGCAAGCCTGTGGCCATAGTAGTTTGCAGTTAATCATTTATTGCAGGGTACTTCAGGAAGCAGTTGGGAGGAATCTCATGCTCTGCGACTAAGAATCACTTTTTTTTTTTTTTTTCCCTTTTTTTAAGGAACTGTAAAAGACTCTTTTCTTATGATTCCTTAAAACAACAGTAGTAATAGCGTGTGCCTATGCAAGGAGACAATGAATTAAGTTGTTAGGGTTGAAATGGCCTTTCGTGCTAATCAGATGTGGGTGTACCGATAAGCCATGGAAAGAGCTGAAAGTAAATAAATACATCAGGATAATTTTAAGGTCAGTGCCTGTGCTCTTCAGTCCCAAAAAAAAAAAAAAAAAAAAAAAAAAAAAAAAAATCTTTGGACTCGGGCCACGCAGGATTTTGAAAGACGACAACTTATTTTGCCATCGCCTGTGCCAAGCAAATTTCAGATGAGCAGTTGACAAGAGGACCCGATCTTTTATTCCTGACATACGGAAAACTTTCCCTTCATTTGAACAGAAACTGAGGAAAGTTCTCAAAACATGTAGCCGGTAAGCTCCCACAGCCGAGTTAAATCTGATATTAATTCTCTTGATGATTATTATCATCTCGATGATTTATCTGGCTCCCTCCCTCCCACTTCCACCACCCAAATCTTAATGGGGCTAGGAGTTAACGATGATTTTTTAATGTCTCGTTGGATTTTTAGACT